CTGCTTCCATGTTCTGTTCAGGAGAGGAGCGGCACATCTGTGGAGCTGCTTGCTGACTACTTGGACCTTGTCTTGGTGCCCCCGCTAGCATGTCATGAGGTCCATAGTGTGGCCACGGTTTGCGCATGCAATCCTTCTCTTTGCAGTGGTGTAGGTTCCAATGGTCCTGAAGCGCGTTGCTTTGCGGGAAGACGCGCTGCAGTGCCCCTGTGAGCACTGCAGCAATGCCTTGCAGGCTGCGGCTCAACTTGCAAGCCTCTTGTGGTCTTCATGGGAGCTGCGGGATTTTTTTGTCAGTCGTACTCCAGGCTATTCATCAGCTGAAGGACAGAGCTGTCCTAACACGTCTTTATGAGGCCTGGAAGTTGGTTGCAACGCTTGCACAGGGTCACCGTCAGAACCCGCGCTGAGCCTTTTGAACATTATCAAGCGTTAGCCACCAATGCATCTTCACAAGACGTAGTTTGCGTGAAACATTCGGAACCGACAACACACAGTATGAGATCAAGAACAATGTTTGCTGCAGCAACCCTTCACAGTATGTGATCTCTCTCCGCCTATGCTGATGGACAAGGACCCATTTGCTGAACAGTGCTGAAACGACGGACTTCAGCCGTAATGTGAGCCACAGGACCAAAAGCTCATCACCTTTCTGGACACTTTAGGCTGTCGAAATGTTTCGTACGTGTGCCAAGCGGACGAGGTTGATGCAGAAATGTGCTTAAATGAGAAGGCCCAGACGCAGATGTCGATTTTGCACAGCAGTTGCTGGAGTCCCACCACTGGGACCTGCAGGCGTGTTGGGTTCCTTCAAGCAGTGTTGTTGCCACGCCTCTCTTGGTCGTGTCAGGCTGCGCTCGAGACGGTTACAGGCGGAGCTGGCAGAGCGGCGGTCTCATCTTATCCAAGGTTCATGTGCTGCTGTACGAGTGGACAGGCGTGAGACTGTTAGGAACTTCTCAGGCTGTCTCTTCCGCAGAGGTGCGTTCATGTGTGTACTATTGTGTGCTGCAGCCTGGCCTGCTTCAAACGTTGCACAGTTGTCTGGGAGGTGCCCCTGCGCACTGATGAGGCCAGGCCGCCAATGAGAGCCGGCCCCCAACTTGGTGTGTGACAACGACAATCCGGGACTGTTCTCTTGTTGGAACTTGGCCAAATCCTCAGGCTATGTGGACAGGCTGATTCACTCTCACAATGAGGTACCTGCACACTTCATGACTTCATGGTGACATTGTTCGCAAAACCAGAGCCGTGACTTGCCCACTTCAACAGGACGAAGAAGCTATTGCGCTGGCCCAATCAGCTGCAGAAGCAGCTGAAGCTTCTGCAAGGCCTGACGCGGCCTGCCACAGCAATCAAGTTACAAACAGTTGATCTTTGTGACAGGCGGGATCTGGAGAGAGCACTGCTGGAAAGTCAGCAAGTCTTCGATCAACAGGCCGAGATTCAGGACATTGCTGCACCACGTTGGGGCTGCGAACCGAAGCTTCCTGTAGCAGAGCGGTCCTGGGTTGCAAAGTTCGACAGGAGCAGGCTGCATTGGCGGAGGCTCTGGAAGCTTCCTGTGCCAGAAGCCCATGTTGCATGTGCTTGCAGTTGCCGGCGTCTATCGTACTGTAGTGATTGTGAAAAAAGACCTGCGCATGGGCCTCAGGCCGCTGCTAGCACGAGTCACCCAAGCACTAGCACACCAGAGAGGCGAATGGGTGCACAAGCCCTTATGAATGTTCTGAAGCATCAGCCTATCCACAGCCCGTCCAGGACCCAGGCTTCTCCTCATGGCGCAGGTGCAGGCCGGCCGTATCGGGCAGCTGGACAGCCACCGCCGTCTCAACTTGTTCTCAGGTGCACGTGACTCGGCTTCGAGGCTGCTGCCAAATGCAGGCCAGCCCGAGACCAGCTCTGTAAAGTCCACGAGCGCAGTTCCCAGCCAAGCAAGGCCATCGACAGCGGCTATCAGATCTGCAGACACCGAGCAGGTGGGCTGCAAACCCATATGCCTGTGCTTCAGGCTCTGCATGGGCCGGATGCTGCACGTCATATTTGCTGTTCTCAGCTGTCCACCATTGCAACCGAACACCAGCTGTCATCCATGAGTCCACCATGAAGGTAGCCAGAGTATTTTCAACAGCCGCAGCGACTGCTTGTCTGCATGGCCCTGCCATTGCTCCTGCAGGTTCCATCCGTCAGGTCCATCGAGCTCCGTTTCAGCCTGAGCAAATTTTTTGCTCTGTGTGCTTTCTTGGTGTGGTTCCGCAGCTTGCCCTTGGAGTCCCAAACCTTTGGACTGGTCTGAGGCGACAGGTGTGCCGCACGCACCGCATGCACCGCCTGCAGCAGCAGCCCCAGCAGCCCCAGCAGCCCCAGCAGCCCCAGCAGCCCCAGCAGCCCCAGCAGCCCCACCAGCCCCAGCAGCCTCAGCAGCCTCAGCAGCACCAGCCCCAGCAGCCCCAGCAGCAGCCCTAGCAGCCCCAGCAGCCCCAGCAGCCCCAGCAAAACCTCCTTCAGTGGATGCCGCGCCGGTGGCCACGGAGGTGACCCGGCAACAGGGTGTCGAAAAGATTCGACGCTCGGGGGTGGGTGCGGCTTTGTTCTTTTTCAAGGCTTCTTCCCCGTCTCCAGTTCTTGGGTTTTTGGTTCCGGAGCGAGTTGCGGAGCCAGAGTGGGTTCCAGAGCCGAAAAAAGTTCCGGAGCAGAGTGGGTTCCGGGTTCAGGAATATTGCAGGGTCGGTGATTGGCTGTTGGTGGAGTTCGGTTCGTATGCGGTGTTAGGTTCGGGCCGATTCGCAGGTTGGCTGCCGGCGTGCCGCGTCACTGCTTTTTGCAAGTTTGGGGCCCGGCAGGGCATGGGAGCACCCGCACATGTTGAAAGATCAACGAAATAGTATGGGAACCTGAGGGAAACTGCGTGTACTTGTAAGCCTTGAAACAGCAGTGCCTGTATCGCGAGCGCCTGAAACAGACCGTTCTTGAAAGCGCCAGTGCTTAAGCCGCTCTGCCGCGTGACTTTGACGAGTGGTTGAATCAATTCGGCCAGTGCTTGATACGCACCGTTCACCGTGTGCATGTGGGGGCTTTCTTGGCTTTTTTTGAAGGACCAAATAAAGGCAGACAGGGGCTTTTCAGGGCGCAGAACCTGAAATTCAAAGAAAATACACATGGAGGGCTTCTGTGGGACCTGTGCTTTTTGGAGCACTCAAGGTCCGAACAACTCCAAGAATGGTATGCTGGCGGCGCTGGGGGCTTTGTTTTGAAGCGATTCCCGAGCCGGGTACTGGCGATTCAAGGGTTCAGCGTGCGCAAAACCCGTTTTTCAGGATCAGCTGTTAAGCTGGGTGGGAATGGCCGGGCCGGAAGAGTGCAGCAGCAAGTGGCGCGCCTGTTGTAATCAGACCATATGGTCCAAATGGTCCAAGAGTGATACTGCTTTGATGGGCGGGAAGTCCGGGAAGGACGGATTTCGTTTTTTTTAAGAGCGACGGAGGGGAAGGGCGGGGAGAATTCTGGAAAGGACAAGAAGCAGTCAGACGCAGGGGCAGATAAGAGGAGGCTGGAGGAGATTATGAAGGGAGGCCGTCGCACTATCCGGTGCCCAGGTTACAGGCTTGGAGACACTAGAAGACATGGGCAGATCAACTTTAGGATCAATTCCCGAACCCCCTACAGTTCAGATGGTAGCATTTTTTCAATTGAGAAAGACCAACAGTGTGGCATTCGAAAAATGTCGTTTCGACTGGAGTCCCCGAAGCCTTGTTAGCTGCCGGGAGACAATGGGCATATTCTTCGTTCTTCATGCTGGGACCAGTCAATGACTGCAGTTTTTTCACAGCATTTCTGCAGGAGAGCTTGACCACGATGGCGCCCAGTGAGCCACTCACGAAAGTGAGGAAAGCGCTCCAGGAGCCGAAAGCGAGCTCCGCGCAGAAGGTGCAGCTGCAGCAGCCGCAGCTCACCGCAAAACAGCAGCCCACCCAAGGCTTGCCGTCTCGAAAGCAGCTAAGTTTGGCAGAAAAAGCTGGACCGAAAGTGAAGGCGGGGTGCTGCAGTGTTTGGGTAGGTGCTGCTTGAAAGCAACGAAGGAGCCGTTTCACAGAATGCATTCCTGTCAGGCAGACACCGCCAAAGTTGAGCGAAGGCCGAATCTGGCGAGCCGCTGCTTCAGCAGATTCTGCTCTTCGAAGAAAGAGACAAAGGGGCAGGAAGGGCGTGACAAGCCAGTGAAGGAGTCCTCCATAGCGGGAAAACATTCCAAAGCCAAAAGCGTGCCCGCACCCGGACAGCCGAATTCGCGGCCTGCCGCCGCGCTGCGTGATGTCGTGGGATGTTTGAGAACATCTGGAGGACTCTGAAGCCACGGTCCAAAACCCTCCAAAGACTCCTGTGCCTGCCCAGTGCCTGAGAAGATGCGCGAAGTGAGGGCCCACGGTGCCCTTTTTGTGCGACATATGTGCCACCTCGGCCCAGGCCGCAGCAGATCGTCTTCCAACGCACGGGGAGCTTGAGCTGCGCCGTGAGCGTGAGGAGGCCGCGCAAGCTGAGATTTTGTCTTTGTGGCTGTTCTTGTGTGGCATATGGTTTTTTCTTTGCGAAAAGAGCGAGGGACGTGCAGCATGGAGCAACTGAGTAGCTAGACGGCAGGCAGAGTTGAAGCAAAAGCAAGCCGAGGACTCTGCTGCGTTCCATTGAGTTCGGGTTTTTTGTTGAGGGAGCACGTGTTTGGCCCAAACACATTTCGGCCCCCCTTCCACTCGGCTACACGTGCCTCCAAAAGCGTCATTCTTCAGATTGTTGCCTTTGATGTTTCTTGGTATTGAGCCCTTTATTCGGTGGCGGTGGAAATCTGGGAGCTGCATGGAGGGAGGTCCAATAATGCTGGAGCCATTCCGATCCTCTCTCTGAATGACAGGGAAGCGACAGTCGTGAGCCAGATGCTGTCGTTATTGCCCTGCAGGTGGGGGTCATGTGCAGATGTAGAGTTATGCCCGCTAGAGGCCTCTGCTATGGACGTAGCGTGGAAGGCGCTACGCCGACTCCATTTGAAGCGAGATCCAGCAGCACTCGCCACATGCTTGCAAATGCCTCAGAATTGCTTCCCACGGCTTTGCGCAGGCTTTGGGTCTCTCGCAATCCCGTGCCCAAGGCAGACGCTCCACGCATACATTAGCAATCTGGCGAAGAATCCGCAGGACATCACATGAGATCACATGAGCAACATTGATCAGTGGCCTTGCACCTTGAAGCCCTGAAGTCCCTGCTTTTGCTGAAAGGAGTCTAAGTTTCATTCCATCAACTGCAAGGCTCTTAAACCATGCCATAGTGTTGCAGAATGCTGCAGTCTTCTTGTGGACATCTGACGGGCTTTGCATGGCTTTGCAGTGGTGTGGAGTGGCCCAGGCCAGAATGGCAACTTTCGCTCTCGAGTTGCATCGCTTGAGGGAGGCATTGCTGTTCTGGAGGCTTCCGCGGCTTTCGTGGTAGGAATGCGGTAGATCCTTGCCATGCCCCTTGCCTTGCCACGTGGCTCCTGTTTTGCTCGATGCCGGGGATGCCCCGTATGGTGCAGGCTGCGTAGTGCTCGGGTCCTGAATGTGCCCGGCATACCAGACGGGTGGATGGGCTCTGCGCTGTGATCGTTCCAGTCGTTCCATTCGCATATGGGGAGTCGCGGGAGTCGGGTTCAGAAACTGGACGCGATGCAGGAAGCCAGGGTTCAGGGAAGCCAGTACTCAGGAATCCAGGGGATGCAGGAGACCAGGGGATTCAGGAAACTGCCCGATTTTTCGGAACTGCATTCACGCGATTCAGGAAACGGCGATGCAGGAAACCACGCGATTCAAGAAGCTGAAAACACGCGATTCAGGAAACCGCGAGATTCACCAACGAGTGAACCTAAACTAAACCCCAAGACCAAGGCCTGGGCACCATATTGCCGGAAGATGCCGGAAACACTTCTAGATTTTGTCTCGACAAGGATGCTCAGGCCGATCGGAAGCTATCGAAAAGATGGCCTGAGAAATGCTGGTCACCGCTGCCACTTTGTGAAGCTGAGACATTACGAGATGCGAGCCAAAGCATTGTGCGAGTCTCCCGTCCCTCCCTGGCTATTGAACTTTCCTGGCCGCATCCCCTCAATCATGAGAATCCCCGACGGCCCTTGAGTCGTTGGGTTTGTGCTTGCCAGGCTTGCCCACCTGTCAAGTCCGACTTCGTGATTTCACCCCAACTTGCTGTCACACTGACATCCCGGAGAGGCCTGCGGATTTGTGGCCGTGGACGAGAAGCTGTGCGCCAGCATCCTCTGCTTTTTACCTTGTGCCCTCTGTATCCTCTGTGCAGCTGTGTGCAGCAGTCACAAGAAATCACGTCATGGGGGCGCCCTCAGGTCGATCCGGACTTCATGAGGTCAAAAGGGCCAAAGCTGTGGGATGCCCTGAGCAAGGCACAGCCGAAGCTCTGCAAGAGTCGCAGAGAATTGTTGCGGGGTGGCCAGGTATCGGTTCTCCTGGAGCAGGTGAAGAGCTGCATGGAAATTCGAGCGAATTAGTCTTGGCCCGAGGCAAAGCTCCTGGCAGTGGAATGGAGCACGCAACATCTCTCAGGTGAATGTAGCGAGGTACCACCACCGTCGCATGCTGTAGCGTTCGCAACCTCAAGATGTTGCAGGTCCAGACCCGAAGAGTCTTCGTGCATAGTGTAGCGGCCGCGCTGAGTAGCGGCTTTTTCCGCCTCATTGCAGGGCCAGAGCAAAAACGCAAGTGCAAATATCTCGTCCCGTGACGCCGGTTGCATAGATGGGCCTAGATCTTGTCTGCATCTACTCGTGCTGGTCGATCGTCGCAGTCATAAGATGTCCGTGGAGGCCGGTGCCCTGTCTTTCCTGGGGCGTCATCTTGAAGAGGCCTGTGGAGCCTTAAGAAAAAACCCGGCTTCGATTTTGAGGCTTTGACCTTGGTATCTTGGGTCTCAGACAAGGCTCCGAAGGCTAAAGCAGAGTAGCGGACGGCTGTGGCTTGCTTATCTTCCGGCTGCGCGATATGTTTAGGGCAAAAAATGGCAAGAATGACGAGAGGATGCTCATGGCCCGCATGCCAGGCAGCAGACTCCCTTGCCTTAGGTGCTCTGCTGCCAGGAGCCCAGTGTTTCGCCCAGTGTTTTGCCCGCTTCCGCGTGGGACAGTGTCGGCAGAGAGGCCCCAAAGTCTTGCCTCTGCAACGGCGGCTGCTGGCAGTTTGGCCGTACTGGCTGCCTATGCCAGACTTAAGGAGACCTGCGCAAACCTGCAGCTGTTGCGTCTGCGGGGTTTTATTTGCTTTAGCTCCCTTGTTCGTACATACATCAATGAATAAGCAACGTATGAATATGGGTAGGAACAGTACTGTTCATGTGAGTATTAATGTTCGTCTCTAGGTCGCTATATAAATATAAATAAATAAATATATATATATATACATATACATATATGTATTTATGTTAACATGGTGTATCCGACATTTTCAAATCTAAGGGAACCCTCAAAATGCCCCAGAATATCATATTCCTTATTAAGGAACCCAAAACAGGTTACCCCTATTGTCAGAAGCCCCACTTCGGGGGGTGGGAGCCGGGAGCCCTGGATCAGATGAACTGCTGAATGTTTAGCAGCAATCGTTGATTAAGTCTAAGCGCTTGCGCGCACCACCTCGGCCGCCGGGCCCCGGGAAATTTCCGCGTGCCAGTGTTTGAATGGGTCTTAGGCTGGTCCAAGGTTTGGGTTTTGTCCAGGAAGGGTCCCAGAGGAGGTCCCGGAGGGGTGTTGGGGGGGGGGGCCCAGGGCAGGGTTCTGGCAGAGCGGGGGAGTTTTCTTGCATTTTTTGGGGGCAACCCTTTTCCGCGTCATCGGTTTGCAGGTCCTCCGAGCAATGGGTTGGGTCACAAACGTGGGGGTTGGGGCGAAGGAGACCAAACCTTGGTCTGCTTGTTCTGCTTGTTCTAGAATGGAGCATCTGCAATTCTCTAGTGTTGAGGGAACCTCGAATGTTTAGGAAGTTTCTGGTTGCGCACAATGGTTTTTCGTACTCGAGTTGCGGTATGAAGAGTAAACAAGCAATGTCTAGGAATGGGGTTTAGGGTTTAGGAACCTTCGTTTACGGTCTAGGATGCTTGGGCCTAGACCAATACCGTTTTGAAATTGATGCTGAAGTACACGAAGTCAGTGCGATCTTTCATGTTCAGCGTCTGGGCCTAAACTTGAAGGCGAATAATTCGTGTCTAGGGAAACTCTTGACAAAAGCCCAAACTTGGTATACTTGAGTGAGTAGATCTCGTTAACATAAGTGGAAGCCAGTTTTCCTTATATGCTGCATACACGACTACCCGACACCTCCCAAGAAATCACACTAACATAAGTGGATGTTAGTTTTACTTATGAAGCTACGTATTCCGCTGGCCAGCAACTTAAAACTAAATTCGGAAACGGCAGAGCTCTGTGGACAGCCAGTCGTGTTGTCGGACCAACTCAAACTACATTCTCGACTTGGCGCACCGGACATCTAAGTTGTAACAGTAGAGTCCTGAATGTCGTATCATCCTTGAATACGCATCTTCAAATTTCAAGCCTTGTTTTTGTTGAACAAATGCAATTTGCCTCAGGGCTTTCCACTTCCACTTCTTTCTACGCCTGCGGCCCGTCAAAAAGCATATATGTATATTAGATGTATATATGTATATATGCCCACACCTTTTGGCTTTTGTGGTCCTCTAGAAACTTCACTCCGATAATTTAGAAGCTCAGCTGTTGAGAACGGCTCCTCGAGATGTCTGGGCAGCAAGAAAATTACGAAGACTGAGTCTTCGTACTGTCTATGTGTATATATATATATGTATAACATGAAAAACGTGGGCGCCTGGGGGGGAGGGTAGCATATATATACATACAAATATCTGTTTGTACATAGACCATATAGATATACAGCGCACGCACACACAGATGTGTGAACATGCGATCAAGTTGTTAAGAATGAACAGGGCTTTCAGCGGTTCAAAGAAAACATGCAAAGGGATCAATGATAGCACATGAACCCGACACCCCAAACCCCAAACCCCAAACGCTATCCCCGAAACGCTATCCATCAGCCGGGGCTAGGCCTTAAAAGGGTCGAAAGCAGTCCCCAACGTCTCCCCACGTATTCTGCACCTTGAACAGGTGTCTTCCGTTTCGTCTCGTTTTTTTTGCCTTTTTAACAGCCATGTCAAGGAGAACGGTCTCTACGAAGCCCCAGCAGGTTCGATTCTCTCTCTCTCTCTCTCGCTTTTCTTTTGCGCTCCCCAGCTGCCTGATTTTTTCGCTGCTATGGTCATCGGCCTTGCCAGGGGTGGTGAGATCCTTGGAAGCCGTGCTTCGGCATGCTTCCGCATTGAGGCATGAGAGCACGTGGCTTTGATTGAATGGGGGAACACGGCTGAGCGGTGACACCGGTGACACCTTGCAAGCCTCGAAGTTTCTCAAGATGTTTCGAGGCATCATCTTGCTTTGAGCCTGCATGTTCTCCGCAACGTTGCTGGCAACCACCAGGAGGCTGCATTTCTTGGGCATAGGCACTGTCACTGAGTGATGTCAGAAGAGTGTGTTTAAATGGCAGTTGCAGGTCATGGACATGAGTGCCGACGTCTTTCGTGATTGCTTCCAGCTTTTTGTGAAGGCTGGGCTTTGCAGGAAGCTCCCCCAAAAGTTCCCCGAAGGGCCAGTCTTTCTCAATGGCAGGATGACGGGCAAGGAGCTGCTCAGTCAAGCCAGTGCACTCTGGCTCGCAACTCAGCCATTGGCCCCGACGCAGTTCATGTCCGAGAGTTGCCACACTCGAAACTCTTTCAACAATTTCAATATGACATCAAGTGATGCTCCGCAGACAAAGGGCTCAGGTCAGTTGCATTGCAAAAGCACGCCATGGCAAAGAATCGAACAACGCCTTCTTTCTTGCTCTCGGTGGCAGCCGCTTGTGTGGCTAGCTGGCTTTTGCTGGTGGCTGGAGATGCGTTTGTGAGCCCTGCACCCACATCCGTGCACCTTGCGGCCCACACGTGGCAGGTGAAGCAGGCTGCCTTCCCTGCAAATGGTTCCACGATTGTGTCTCCTGATCAGAAAGCAAGCCTTTTCAGGACGGCTGCCGCTGCATCGCTCCTTTGCCTTGCCGCGGCACGCTTGATCAAGGGCAAGTGGAAGCCAAGAGCGTCTCCAGTCCGTCGAGCTGTCATCTCACTCAACGCCGCCGGCGCCAATGCTGCCAATGGTGGAGAGCCTGCAGTGACAGCAAAGGACACAAGGAACACAAAGAACACAAAGAACACAACACAAAGCCTGCCCTACAAAGTTGCAAATGCGGCACTCGTGGATGTTTGCCCCAACATCCCGAACATCCTCAGCCTTCCGGAGATCTTGGAGCCTTCCCTCGCTGTCCCTGACTCCCGTACCGTTGCCACACAGGCAACCGTTGCCACGCCGGCAACTCCCACATCTACAACGTCTGCAACGTCTGCGACATCAGCGAAGAGCTTCGCCTGCCTTTGCGGAAAGCTTGGCTCTGCTCGACTGGTGGCCGGCGCTCGCCATGCCCAGCACCGACATGCCCGGTGTTTTTCAGGCAAAGCCGCCCGGCGTGCAGTTGGTCGTCACCTTTGCGAGCGTGTGGTGGCACCTGTCTTGCCTTCGAGCTTCGATGCCAGCAAGACCCGCACAAAGATCCAGCTCGGGCTTCGCGTGTCCTCTTGCATGCGCTCTGAGTCGGGCCGTGAGTCGAAGCTGTCCTCGGGCGTCGAAGGGTCAGAAATGGGCACATGCCTTAACTTTGTAGCACATGATTTAAAGGTATACATGCTAGATCATGGTTCTGCACTGACTGCTACTGCTTCTGACCCGAGAGTTAGAGCTGCAGCTCAGCTGCTCCGGAAGCATGGGATGTGATGCTGCGGACCGAGAGTAGCAAGGGTAGCGGCTGCGGTTGACTCCCTTTGTGCAACACTCTCCAGATGGCCCAAGGCTCATGGAGTCATGCTCCACCACCTCACTGTTGCCTCTCACCATGTTTCTGAGACGATTTTGTGTGACAAGGTACTTCAAGGTACCCTGACAGAGCTTTTGCTCGGTACTCTGCAGTTGGTGACGTGAGGGATATAGGATGCGGAGTAGGTCTCGGCATGGACGCTACTTTGCCCCAAGCTTGCGACGGCAGTTTGTATGTTAATGAGAAGACCAACTTGCGACTTAGCCACTTGAAATGTGTGATTCTGGTGTATCGTTGCAAGCCCGAAGTACGAGAAGTACTATGAAACAGTTTTCGTGGCGACCGAAGAAGAGGTTGCATGTCATGTGGGTAGAGATCTATTGATCAAAGGGCGGTACGCAGCCATGCAACCCTCTTCGCATGCACGGTGTGGAAGCATGAGCTTGCGAGTTTAATGCTAGTGAGATATTGAGATGCTGTGTGATATCGCAACTCAAGCTTCTGCATGATCCTTCGGCAGCCCCCGGTGAATTTGAAAATCACCGCCACTTTCCAGGGTTGTTGATGAAAAGAGTGTCAGTGGAGTCTGCATAGTCTGCGAAAGGCAAGAAATACAAAGCCCATATGAATGCCATGCACTTGCATTTGGTGCCAATCTGCTCTGCCCATGCCTTTGCAAGCTTGCATAGGCTGCGCAGAAGAGCAGCTCGGGAGGGTGCAACTGCCATGATTGATTGTCACTGTCATTGTCATACTCCGGCTCTGCGAACCTTTCGAGCCTTCAGGAATCCTCAGGAAAGCGACGAGTGTACCTCTGAGGCCGGGGACCAAGCAACTGCTGCATTGCACACTTTTTACTTCTCTCTCTTTGCATATCTGGGCGCGTATGTTGCATCAACACGTCAAGCACTTTAAGACGTTGCACGTCCAGCTCCAAGGGGTTGCATGGGCGTGCCAAAGATGCTGATTCGCTCAAGGCCCTGAGTAGCCCTGAGTACGCAGAATAGCACCGCTTGTTGTTGTTGTTGTTCTTCTTCTTCTTCTTCTTCTTGCAATGCTTTCCATGGCAGGCACTCACGCCAGCCAGAAGTTTCAGGCTGCAGCAGAGATGCTAGAATCAGTATCCGTCTTTCCTTGCCTCGGCTCCACCGGGCTTCTGCTGCCTGCTCTCATGGAAGCATGGCGTGTTGCTGCAAGGTGCTGCGAGCGACTTGGGCTGCTGTCTGTGACTTTTCAGGCGTGCCTTTGCGTTTGTCCCAGATGCAGCGTAGAGTTTCATGTGGCAGGCGCTCTTCCAGTCCCAGGGCACATTGCAGAACTTGGTCGTCTCTGAAGAGGAGATCCGCCAGGAGGTGATCCGCGTTCGGGCAATCAGATGCTGCAGATGTGTTTCATTTCTGCATGGCTTGTTTTCATACTATGGATGCGAGGTTTCTCGTTCCTGCATGTGACTTGCTTGTGCGAATGTGAATGATGCGAATGATACATGAATCATGTGAATGATGTGAATGATGTGAATGATGTGAATGATGTGAATGATGTGAAGGATGTGAATGATGTGAATCATGCGATTCATGTGAATCAACCTCGTGCTTGTCCGCCAGGTAGCTCAGCTGGCCAGCGAGCTGCGAGCAGAGCTACCGCAAACACAGCGCACGAGGCATCTGTTGAGATGCGCCCTTTCTCGGTTGCAGTCCATGATTAATGTGGCTTCTTTGGAACAGGATCTCATTCCATAGCATCCGCCTCTATTTGCTGATTTGCAGGCACGAAATCGTCAGCTAGACAAGCATATGTTCACATTGATGATTGCATCTGTTCACAGGTCATCCCACGCAAGACGACAGTGCTCCGATATTTCTGTGGCAGACATTCACAACAAACTAGGGGTAGCCATCAGTCACAAACAAGAAAGAAGTTGCCGAACAGGTATGCAATTCTGGAACCGCCTGTCCTAGAAGCAGAGCAACGTACCGTGGCCTTTCTGCTGCCCGATGCTTGAGACTGCTCCTGTCAGTTTCAGAAGGCTCGCGCACATGGCCACATGCCTCAGGTCCATCTCAACGAGTCAGCATTGCGTGCTACTGCGGGCCATGACACAGGACTTTGCAATCTGGACTGCCGAGGTTGTAGTAGGTGCGTTGCGGTGTGCGCCAGGATGTTCACAGCTGGCTGCTGTGGCAGTCGCAGGCGTCCAAGGTGCCAGCCGCTCAGAGAGTGTTGCATCCTTTGGAACCCGCCTTCGTAACATTCCGTCGCATTGGAGCGAGGCCTGAGCCGCCTGAGCCGCGAAAGCGGAGATCTCACAAGAGCAAATCCAGGTGCCCCGCAAAAGCCACGAGAAGCCACGCCTAGAGCACGCCCCAGCACCATCTGCCAAACATCTGAGGCATACGGAGCCGCAGGCCGGAGGGCTCTCGTGCCCTAAAGTGTCTCACACCCTGCCGGCTTGGCTTTTGGGGATCTTGAAGCTGCAGGCCGCAGAAAGTGAGGAGATCTCCTTGGGGGCAGGCGGGACCCCGGATTCTGCCTGGTGGGTGCAGGGAGTAAAGAGGAGTCCCGTACAAGCACATGCACAGTGGTAAGGCCAACAAAAAAAGGCAACGAGAACAACAAAAGCAGCAGTCTTGGCTTCCCCCGAAGTACAAGTGCCAGGTAGGCTACTGGGCACAACCCTCCTCGCAACAAGGCTACTGAGACTCACTTCCACGGGGGCCTCCAGGGGGGAAGAAGGAAGGTTGGGCGGCAAGTCACTACCTGGCTTCCGGTTCATTCATATTCCCTTTCCCCTATTCACCGCAAATCCCAAATCCTAAGGCAACACAGCGAAGAAAAACATAAGAAGGAAAAGAGCTGTCATTCCTGGTAGACTTCCTCAAAAGGGTACACGCTACCAGCAGAGGTCTAGCATTCTTCGCGGTCATGTCAATGTCATAGCAAAAAGGCTTCGCTCTTGCCTTTCAAATGCCTCGGAACTGGAGTGTTTGAAAGACTAAGTAAGTGCTGCTGGGCCCCAGTTTCATGCTTGTGAGTCTCATTGAGAGACCTATCGGCGGCGAGGACTTGTGCTGCCGGCGGCCCGCTGGAAGAACTACTAAACGTTTTCTGGATCATGGGCGGGATACTATCAGAGCTATGGGCATGGCACTTTCCCCCGGGGTCCCGAACCATCCCAAAGTATTGTTTTTTGGAATCATATGGCCTGCACTGCCTCTGCCCAGTTGATTAGGGTTTCCCCACTATCTCCCCGTGGCTCGTAGTGGCGTTAGGTTAAGGCTTGGGGGATGGGGGGGTGGGAGTATTATTGCATTTTTCTGGTTTCACTTCTCCCAGAGCAAGAAGTGCAGGAAAGTGCATCCCTACCTTTTCCGACACGGAGCCATCTAAGCTGCTAAAGTACGGGACCCAGGCCGGAGCGCCATTTTGAGTCATGGAATGGGCACGGGACCTAGAAACCTTGGGTTGCTTAGCCACCCTGGAGTCTTTTGTCCGAGAGGCCCCCCCAATATACCCAAACCGAAAGCGCAAGTTCGCAATTCCAGCTGTGGCCAGTTCGAATTCTTTGAATATTTCGGGGGCATTTGTCTGTACAGAAAGCCGTGCAAGGCGCGTGCCCCAGAATTTTTGTTGATTGGATTTTTAGGGTACGATGCCGCAAGGGCTTGGCAATCTTTCTGACGAGGGGTAAACAAGTTGCCGAATGCAGGGAGCTCGTCTCCACATCGTGTGCGGCTCTTCACCGCCGGGGAGGTGCTCTTGCTGCTAGTGAGGACAATGATCAGATTTCAGGGCCGTGTCAGGCAATATGGATGGCTCATTTCCTGCTGGTTCTCGCAGTTGCCATGTGCCTGCTGGTCGTGACCTCAAGATGCCTCAGATGCCTCAAGTCGAGACATTGTGCCTACACACCACATGGTTGCAGAACCTCCACGAAGTTGCATGCGGGAAATCGCCCCAAACTCAGGTGTACTGGAGCTCCCTGGAGCATACAGCAGCTTCGCAAGCCGCAGGGTTCCCAAAGATTCACTTTTTGGAGCATCTGAAAGCCATTTTTGACGTCTTGCAGCGGCTTTTTGACATTTTTCGGACGCATCTCAGTGCCAGGCCGCACGAAACAGTGGGGGCCCCCGGCTCTCAGCTTTTTGACGTCCTCTGCCAGTGAATGCCCTCTGAGGCCAACTTGCAGGCTACGTGCTTTACTGGAGGTGAGCACGCGTGAGCACGCGTGAGCACGCGGGGAAGCTGCAGTTTAAGTCTTTGCCAGCTCAACCTGCTTGTCAGTGAGGGCTGCAAGTGTGAGTAAACGCTTTGCAGCGTTGGGAGAATGGCACAAGCTTCGTGTTGTTTCGTGCACATCACACTTGCGACTCCCTGTGTACACAAACAACGAGTTTCCGATTTGCCTGTTTCAAGTTGTGAAAAAACCACAGGATGTGCCAAAAAAGCTCGGAATCGCTCAGGCTCCGTCTGAGCGATCCGCCCAGATGCGACATATGGCAACATCCATCGGCCGCGAAACTTTTTGTAGCCATCCCAAGTTGCTGCGCAGTGGAAGTGCTGATGGTATCATTCCGTTATATCGGTGGATTCTACACAGTTGCTTCAATGTGTGGGACTCGCAGGCTAGCAATGAGTGCTACATACCGGCATAGTGTTTCTGTCTACGCCCCGTCTTGTGACATAACGGCACCGCCTGCTCTGCGCAAGCAGTGTTCGAAGAAAGAAGTTTCACACAGGGCATTGCAATTATGCTTGCCCCGGTGCCTAGCACAAAACTGATGACTCTTTTGACTTGGTGTGGAACCTAATGAATTTATCGCATGGTCTGCAGGCCGACCGGTGACTTTGCTTGCGCAGTCGGCTCCGGTTATTCAACCAGAGCAAGCACCTAGACCCAGACATTCTGTCGTCCGGCATGTTGCCTTGTCATATCGTGCCATGTACATTCACTCATGTACTATTCACGCGCAAAATCTTTAGTGTCGTGACGCCTGTGTCGTGCACCATGGACACAGGGCAGTGTCTCGTTCTGCCGGCAGTTTGGAGCCCTGCGCATTGTCTTGCCTTTGAGCTGCTTGCCTTGAGTGGGGCTGAGCTGCGAGTGCTTAGGTCTCTGAGACCAATAGTGCTGACGAGGTCGGTCAGCAGCTGTATCTAGGTGTGAACGACAGGCAGCCTTGTGCTTTGTGATGGATGTGACAGCTCCATGGCCTGCAGTTGGAAACCTGGCTTTCCGAATCGCAGTCGGAGCTCCTCCGTTGTCACACGGCACGAACCTCAGAGTGCCCCGCGGGACGAGGTCGTCCCTCGCTTTCTGAGGGATAGCCAACTGAAAGTGCTGACTCGTGGTTGCAGAGGGGCCAAGGCAATGCTGGGGCAAAGGAGCCGCAGGGGGCTGGTGCTTTGAAGGTGTAACCACCACAAAACTGCACCAATTGGTGTATCTTTCCAAGCTGTCCTCAGAGTAATCGGGGGTTCTGGACACACTGCCTGTGGCCCGACAGGCCTGGCCTGGCCCTGCGTAGCATGTCACAGTCTCCGCCTTCTCTAGCAATCCTTGTGCAAGAATGACCGTCGGCCTCGCGCCAAGCACTTAGCAGAAAGGGAAGTACCGGGCTTTTCAACAGGAAGCGGGTCAAATTAGTTGGCAAAACTCTATAAACCCGATCTTATGTCAAGTCGCGCATCGCTGCCCCCTCCTTCCCATCTTGCTCGAAGATCGCGTCCGAACTATGCACTGGGCCCCGCCGGCCCAGTGTGAACTTTACTTTTCAAGGGCTCACACGCCCACCCCGAAGTTTGGACAGGCTCGCTGCGTGTGGTTTTTAGCCTTCGCGGCACTTTGCAGTCCAGACTTCACTTCAGGCACCTTGCCCGTGAGCAGGCCTTGCGGACAATGACCCCTTGGCCATTTTGCACTACACTGAACTACGCTAGTAGGAAGATGTAGGAAGTGAAGTAGTAGGTAGGTAGGAGCCGAAACTATGCCCAGCCCATCATTCTTTGGAGTTCACGGTTAAAGGCAAGTGGTGTAAATTTAAGAACAAAATCTCAAACATGTGAAATGGGGGAGTGCGCCGTTGGTGGACTACTTGCATTGGATTTTCATTCGCTCAAGAAGCCGTACCTTCGTGGGACTTCTTGTCTTTGCTCCCTCAATCATGAACAGCCAAGGTCGATGCAGCGGAACGACGGCTCGGTGATCAAGCCTTTAGCAGGCGTCTGAACGTCCAAAAGTTTCAGCCACCTGCTGCAAGCCTGCAGGATAATTCACTAGCATGCTCCATGATGCTCCATCTCAAACAGGTTTGTGGCCTCATTGCTGAGCACGTCGGTTCAGCCAGTTTCCTAAACATTTTGCCATTGCATGCGCCACCTCGATGTCGATTTCGCTCGGCTTCGCAGGCCGGAAAATTGCTTTGCACTCAAAGGCTCGCTAGATCGTCCGTGCATCCAGCACCTCAAGTTGGCCAGATGCCCATTTCCACACAGTCGTCTTGTGAATCCATCGTTGGGTGCACGACGCAGAGCTGAGGATGTGGGATTCAGTACATGGCATCAGCCTCGATTTGTGTTGAGACTGTCGGAGCTTGTTTTTCGCAGCGCATGCTATAGGACTTGTCTGGCAACTGCCTGACCGATACGGCTGCTGTCTGCATCCTAGATGACCGCGCCTTTTTTTTTCTCTGAGAGGAGCCCGACCCAAAGCCCGACCCAAAGGTGGCGCTTGCCGAGTGCCTGACCTGGATGCGGGAAAGCCTGGGAGGACACATGCTGAGGCACGACATTGACCGGGGTGAAAGAGAGCTGTGAGCAGGTGAGAATCGATTCCTGGAAGGTCCCTGTGCTTGTCCTCCAACTGCATCGGCCCTTCTGGAGTGCAGGCTCCCCCCCTTTCTCTGCTGGCTTCTTCCCTTTTTTTGTGCGGCCTCCCTTCAGAGTCGCGAGTGCCTCGAGTGCCTCTGGAGTGCCTCGAGGCAGTGGCCCTGAGCTTCTTTCCTCCGGATGCCGATGCCGAGCCGTGCAACCCTGAGCTTCCTTCCTCTGAGCTTCTTCTCCTCTGCTTCCTTACCTAAGCTTCCTGGCAAAGGTACAGGCTAGCACTGTCCGGAAACCCGCCCGTCGCACAGCGGAGTGTTTGTTTTTAGTTGTGTGTTTTTTTCTCTTGGTAACTTGAGATGAGCTGGTGCTGAGGCTCGGCGATGAGGGTGTAACGTTTGTGGCCCTGGCTGTGCGAAGCCGGCGGTGCAAAGCAGCGGCGATCTCAGTGTCTTCAGTGCCTGGATTCCCCTATGCAGCTTGACTGTGACCCTAAACACTAAACCCTAAACCCTAAACCCTAAACCCTAAACCCTAAACCCTAAACCCTAAACCCTAAACCCTAAACCCTAAACCCTAAACCCTAAACGACTTGGGACCGGGGCTGCCTATGCCTGCGTTTATTGAGGTCCTGGAGCTCAGCAGCGTGGGCTGTGGTGCTGGCGGTGGCCGCCTCACTTCCACCAAACGCGCATGCTAATTGCATGCTATTTGCGAGGAATTCAATCTGCCATCCTGAACTGGTCTCACTCTGCAGAGTTCCGGTCTACGTGAAGCACTTTGTTTGTTTGTTTGTTTGTGGGTGTGGGTGCGGGTGTGTGGGTATGAGGGAGCGTACAGGTGTTGGGATCATGGACGGTAGGCATTTTGCTGGGACACACAAAACGAATCTACGGGGCATCATGCGTCATGGCCCAACTGCGACTGTTGCAACGCTAGGCTGCAGAGCTCTGGTTGAAAGCCTTGAGTGGCTGCAGGCCTGGCGCTCAGGCAAGCCCTGTTTAAGGCACGCGTGTTTTTTTTTTCCCAGCCATTTTGAACTGACACCTGCCAAGGGCTTGGACCTCCGACAGCCACTCAGATTCCAGCCAAAGCAGGAAACATTTGGAAACATTTGGAAAGATTTGGAGCAGTGACTCGGTGACTGCACAGGCCACAACAGCATTCCTGAGACTGAGCTTGGGATTTTGGTGGACGCCTTGGGCGCAATAGGTACTACAATGGCTCCGAGCTGTAACCTTGAATGCAAGTTTTGCTTGGTTGTGCTGTGGCAAGGCCACTCACTGTACAGCCGAGGCAGCACAGCTTCCAGAATCTCTTCATTTCCAGCTGCCTCTCACCACACTTGACACAGGCCGGTGACGATGTGTTTTGCAAATCAGGGAGTTGGCCAAGCATAGATTCAATTCGCGCCCGGATCCATGAAGCTGTGAGTCACCCGGCAGGACGTGTGCAGGTCTGCACAGCGCCGAAGGTGCCCAGAGAGGCATCCAGACTCCTGAAAGATGTGTGACACACCAGCTGCAAGCGGACTTGTCACGGCTGCAGCGGAGGTTTGTTCTTTGAATTGCTTTTTGAGAGCCGATGCACTTGAGCACAATAGGCATTGCTTTCAAGAACATGGGTAGCTGACAGAGCTGGCAGAGGGACAGCTTGCCATCGTTTGTCTTGCCGCTGGTGCAGGGGACGTTTGAGTGGAGGGTCGTACGGTCGTGCAGCGATCTCAAACGAGCAAAGCCGAACCAAAGCCATTGGCCCGCTTCAAGGGAGGGTTCTAGAAAGGGTTCGAGCAAGCTCTTGGGGCCCTCCTTGGCACTCTTTGCGCCAGTGTCAGCTCCAATGTCAGCTCCAGTGCCATCTCCAGTTCCAGTGTTGCTCCAGTGTTGCTGTCTTCCCTTTTCTTTTTCTCTCTCCGCTTTCGCTTTCTCTTTCTCTTTCTCTCTGCCTTTCTTTCTCTTTCGCTTTCTCTCTTTCGCTTTCTCTTTCTCTTTCTCTTTCTCTTTCTCTGCCTCTTTATCTTTCTCTTTCTCTGTCTCTGTCTCTGTTTCTGTCTCTATCTCTCTCTCTCCCTCTCCCTCCCTCCCTCCCTCTATTCAGCTGGCAAATTCCAGAACATGGCGCTCAGATGTCATTGTTTCGTGGAAAACGGGCTCCTGCACATGGATTTGGCAGGCAGAGGCGTCAGCTGTGTCGGTGCCATCGGCGAGTCCGAAGCCAGAGCTCGAGGCCAGTGCTTAACGCTTGATTCGTCGTGCAGCATGCGCATCACAAATCGCAAACCAAGTTGCGCTGCTAGACCATGCCAATGCTCGCTGCAAGGTTTATAGGGCATGCCGGAAGTTGTACTTCGGGATGTGCAGTTGTTGCAGTGCTTCGGCTCTCGCTGTGCTTCTGCTCTTGCTGATGAGGCGACAGTCCATGAGGCGACAGTCCCCTCCGCGAGCTCTGCACTGCGACAACCCGCGTCCCGCGCGGAGGCCACCTCTGTGGGCTCATCGATGCCACCGGTTGAAGTGCACGATCCGGGGTGGGGGCGGGCGCGGAGTCGGTGCGGGGGGAGTCGGGCAGTGGATAGGGGCAGAGAGCAGGCGAAGTGATCTGCATAATTTCTTTTGCCCCTCTGTAGGTGGCTCTGCAACGAGCCCGCAAAGCTCTGAGCCAATCTGCGTCAGCCAGGTGGCTTGTGTCACACGAGTCACGAGTCGCGAGCCACCTTGCTTTCTTATTCTTTCTTTCCCTATTTGAAGGCCATCGCCAGACCAGCGTTTGGCAGATGGGGCAGCTGCGGCGCCGCAGAGTAGATGCGCGGTGTCTCAAGAGTGGCTGGCTCAGCAAGCCGGAGCCACCTTCTGGCCAGCTTCTGGCCGATGCTGGCCACCCAGGCACCAGCATCTGCCACGTCAGCCGCGTCAGCCGCGTCAGCATGTCTTGGAGAGCTGCTGCGAGAGGCCTGGGCCTCTCCGTTTCGCTCTTAACTCATGCATCCTGTGAGATACGCGTGGAATCAGGACAGGTTCGTCCTCGAAAGCATCCACAGCTGCGCAGGCCGTAGACTCTCTCCTTCCCATGGCTAGGAATTGCTTGCTCATGCTTGCTCCATGCCTCCTTGTGTTGGTGCTTCTGATGTGCTGCAGCTTGATTTCAGGCAGTGCTGGATCGTGCTCGAAGCGTTCTGCAGAGGAGTGTTGCACAGATCTTGCATCTCGCGGCAAAGGAGAGTTTAGATGAGCTTACAAGTGCCGTACTTCCAGGAAGCCTGGAGATGGTGCAGCTGCTCCCAGAGCTCCCAAAGCTCCAGTCGCACCGCAGTCGGCACCTGTGCAGGCCATGATGGACGAAATGCCCGGACCTCCGGCTCCTGCCGGACCTGCCGGACCTGCCGGACCTGCCGGACCTGCCGGACCTCCCGGTCCTGCCGAACCTCCCGGGCCTGCCGACATGCCTGCCAAATCTACAAAAAACTCCCAATTTTCTCAATTTTCTCAGTGCTGTGAAATCTCAGAGTCAAGCGCCTCAAGCTCCGTCCCGAAGATGGACTTTGGGGACAATCATCCTTCTACATCTTCGACACTCGGGGTCGGTCGCAGCGGCGACGAATCCGTGAACATGTGTGCCCATCAGGAATCAGCCAGTTTCCCCAGTTCCACGGCAAAGGCTTCCTTGTCGTACCAGCGCTCAGTGGAGGGTGTATCGCATCTGCAGCAAGCTCTTCGTCACTTAGAGGGCGGTTTAGGCATACGGCGAGAGCGAGATCAGCGAGATCCGCCTTCACGGCCCCTCGACCACGTCGAGAACGAGCCAGATGCGGAAGCACTCGCGATGCCGGAGCGAACCGTGCGCTTGGAGCGCGAAGTGGCGGAGCTACGGGAGGACGTGCGCCGCATCGAGCACACAGTAACATCGCTTCAAGCCGAACCCGAGCAGGAAGACAAGATCCAGCATGAAGACCCTGCCGAGTTGACATCAGACTACCTTGACTTGTGCCCTGCAAAGCCCGCACATGGCGACCACATAGATGTGGAGAGTGTGTCCTGCATACCTGGCATGCCTAGCATTGCCACACTGAAAGCTGAGAAAGATGCACGTGAGTCTGAGAGCTTGGGTCTCCTCGAAGCGACGCAGCAATCAGAGCAATCAGATGTCAAGGAACCTGAAGAGGAGGTTGATTGTTCAAAGGGCCGAGATGGTGGAGATGGTGGAGCCCGTCTGGAACCAGTTTCTGGGTACATGGAGGCTTCAGCGCCGGCACCGACCATGAACCCAGCATCGGCAGCTCCTGGTCCGGCAGTGCCTGCTCCGGCGGCACCTGGTCCGGCAGCGCCTGGTCCCGCGGCGCTTGGGGCGCCAGCGCCGAGTCCGGCAGCGCCTGGTCCGGCGGCGCCTGGTCCGGCGGCACCTGCTTTACTGGAAGCAGCTACAGCTGGCCAGGCAGCGCCTGCAGACCCTCAAGAAGGTAGCGCCAAGGAGCATCCAGAGCAAGCGAGCCCGTTGGTTCCCAAGAAAGGTGGCCCCCCTCCTCCGAAAGGGAAAGGAAAGGGGAAGGTGGGCAAGGGGCCCAAGGGGCCGTCACTTCCGACGGCGGAGGCAAACGAGTCAAACGGGGACAAGGTGGCTGGGCCTCCGCCCCCAAAGGGAGGAGGCAAGGGCAAGGGCCCGAAAGGCAAGGGCGGTCCGGGTGCTCCGCCTAAAGGCCCGCCTCCCAAAGGAGGTGGGCCTTTGAAGGCCAAGGAGGCCGTACCAAAGGCCGAGTCAAAGGCTCCATTTCTCAAGAGGCTGTATTGGAAGCAAGTCGACATCCAAGATGCGGAAGGCACCATCTTCAGCGAGAGCAGGAGCAGGTCAAACACCTGCTCGGCTGCCATTGACTTTACTGCCCTGACGCGCATGCTGGAGGCCGAGCAGGCCAAGGGCTCCCAGCTGCAACGGCGCTCCTCCGGTGTCCTGAGCAAGGCTCAGCAGCGGAACATCGGGACCAAGGTCTTGAGCGACCACCGGGCTCGAAACATCGCCATCGTTCTCAAGCGCTTGCCGCTGTCCACCAAAGACCTGGTTTCCGTGCTGAAGAAGCTGGAATGGGAGAACGACCGTTTGGGGACCGATGACTTGGAGCAGATCTTGGAAGCCATCCCCACCCACGAGGAGGCCAAGCACCTCCGTGACCACAGCTCGGAGGAGGCTTGCCGAAAGCTGCGGGATGTGGAGCAGATGGTCATGCCTCTTGCCCTGCTCACCAGGGCTTCGGCAAGGGTGCGTGTCCTTTGTGTGGCTCGCAATGCAAGGCTTCAGTTCAAGTCCACGGCGAGGACTCTGGCAAAGATTCGAGCGGCATGCTCCGCCATTCAAAGGTCCGGCATGTTGCGAAGCGTCACGCTCCTGGCCTTGCAGCTGGGGAACTACATCAACCACGGAGACTCGAAGAAAGGGGCCAAAGCCATTGCAATCAGCTCCCTGATGGCCCTCCGGGATTTCAAAGTCGGAGAGATGTCCTCTCTCCACTTCCTTTGCGCTTCCCTCCTGCGCTCCAACCCGAAGCTGGATGCGGCGCAGGCTCTCCTCAGAGAGCCGGCAGCTTAGCCCCAGGCCTTCCTCTGAATGTGCCCCTGCGTGTGCCCGCATGTGCCCGTGGTGTGTGGCGCCCATTCCAAGGCTGCAGCCGGCGGAGAAGATCGCCAAGATGCAGGCGGATCCTGGGAGGGGGAGTCCTTTGAAGTTTTTTGGGCGTCCGGGAGCCTTCCTGCCACCTTTCAGAGCTGCAACGAGGAGCGACACGACACAGACGCACACAGCTCGTATGCAGCAAAGAGTCTGCTGGCAGGTTCAGGGTCTTTCAGCAGCCGTGCGATCTTTCGCCCGAGACCTTGACACCATCAAAGCCGAATGTGCGAAACCCGGTGGAACCCAGATGTGCTCTTGAGCGTTGAACCTTGTATCCGCTCAAGACGGCCCAAGATGGTCCCAGGGCAATCAGAAGGCAGAACCCAAGAACACCATGGAACACCGTTCGCCCTTCGAGGCCAGAACCATCTCCAAGAGTACGAAGGCACCGGTCTACTTAGAAGCGGAGCCACGAGGCTGTAAAGGTTTGTGGAGTGCTGGAACTGCCACTTGCAGGCGAAGGAGAGCGGATTGCTTACTTCAGAAACTGTGGCGCAGAGAGCAGAGAGAACGAGAGCAGAGGGAAAGAGGAAGAGAGAGAGAGAGAGAGAGTGAATAGAAGAAGCAAAGGAGAGGGAGGCCCCTTCCAGCCCCGCTTTAGGCCATCTACGGATGAAGATGCCAAGGACGCGCGAGAAGATGAGTCGAGCTCCTTAGATGCTCAGCCGGAGCCGTGCACCTTCTCTGTGCAGGACTTGGAAGATGCAATGGAAGAGGCGTGGCGACTGGAGATGGCTCCTCCTGTGAATTCTCCAAGCAACAGAGCAAGTGCAGAGCACAAAGGTTCATGCGGTGGCATCTGCAGCATCGGAAACCATCGAGTTCAGTCCCGGCAGCAGCCTACAGCGGCAAGACGAGGATGCGACACGATGGGTAGAGGACCAGCACTTGTTATCGGGGCAGCAAGCCGTTGCCACATCTGCTTCTTCTCTCTCTTATGCGGGTGTCTTTGATGCAGCAAAAGCCTTCAGCTGTCAAGCCTTCAACAGCTTTCAGCTGTCAGGGCTGCAGTTCTTTGAGTGCGGACAACTCGCGCATACTAGTCACCTCATTCATTTCGTCTGGTCTCACTGCGCTTTTTTCATTGGGCTGTTTCTGTACCAGGATGTCATGAAGATTCGAGGTGGCGCGCAGCGGCGTCTGCGCTGCATGAGGACATCACATCAGGGTTTCAAGAGACCAGGCCACAGACAGCAACCCAACCCGAGGAGGATCCTGGAGAAGCTCCATCAGCTCTTGAAGGTTGACATGGAGAATACGGCAGAGGAGGACTGGTATCCCGACACCAGTGCGTTCGGGGGAGTTGTGCGCGAGTGGTGGCAGGTCCATTCTACACTGCGTTTCTGCGGCGTGCTGTTGCAGAAGCCTTCTAACGAGGCTTTCAGCAAACGTGCAAGTTACATGATGCTCAAGCGACATGAGCTCGATTCAATCTTCGCGCTGAGAGGCATATTGGTCTCACCAGTTGCTGTTAGTGCTTCATCTTCAGAGGTTGAAGCTAGCGCCAGCCAACTCCTCACAGCTCACATATGCTCAGCCGTGACATGTGAAGCCTTGCCACCTCCACATGTCCTGGTCCGGTGGGAATCTGATACGTAATTCGAGAAACCCTCTTCTGATTGTGCTTAGTGCTTTACTCTGTATCAGGGCTTTGCCGGGGATCTGGCGCCATTTAGGAGCCATGGTGAAGACCCGCTTCTCTTCGGTGGATGTCCGAGCGATGGCCCCTTGGTGAGATTTCTTCGTTGTTTGCTGGGTTTGGGTTTTATTTGAGGGTTTAGGGAGTTTAGGGTTTCGGGTTTAGTAGGGAGTTTAGGGTTTAGAGTTTAGGGTTTACGGGCCGTGTAGTTTGGTGTTCGGAGGTGAACTCAATTCGCCCCTCAGCCGTCGGGTGCAAGCTGGCCAACATCTATGACATCAACTCGAAGGTGTACTTGCTAAAGCTGCATCGCAAAGGCGGGGGCGCGTTTCAGTCTGTACGGATGGTACAAACCTGCCCGTCTGCTGCCCATCTGCGCAGGCTTCCGATGCCTGCTACTCCTGGAAAGTGGTGTGCGCTTCCACTTGACCGAGTACCAGAGAGACAAGTCATCCATCCCATCCAACTACACCATGAAATTGCGAAAGCACTTGCGAAACAAGCGCCTCACGAACATCAGCCAGCTGGGAGCAGACCGAGCTGTCGATTTCCAGTTTGGCCGCGGTGAGACCTCCTTTCACCTGATCTTGGAAATCTATGTGTCTGGAAACTTGATTCTCACGGACAGCGAGTACCAAATCCTCACCTTGCTGAGGGTTCATTCCGACCAAGAGACGAAAGTGGCCATGCGCCAGACATATCCGGTGGACAAAGCCATGGGATTGCTGAAGGTGCCCTTGGCTGAGTTCCCAGATGCAATTGAGGACCTCCTGGACCTGGCCTCTGTGCGGGCTGAAAACCAGGAGGTGAGGGAACTGGAGATGGATGACGAGAAGGCTGCAAAGGACAAGAAGAAGGGGGTTGAGTCCGCCTTTGCAAAGAAGTCGAAGAAGAGGGTGCAGCACAGCGCCATGCCAGTGGTGATGCTGTTGCACAAGCTGGCTCCCTTCGCTGATCCGGCGCTCTGCGCCAGCTGCGTGGCCAAAGTGTCCGCCCTGAAGGGCAAGCCCGTGCAAAACGCCTTTAAGATAACGGTCGATGACATGTCCTTTGACGAGCTTGTTGACCTCGAGCAGTCCTCTGCTGAGATGCTGCTGGACACGCTCCGCAGCGTCTCGCGCCCGGACGACCTGGGAGGGGGCAGCATGCCCCAGCTTCTGGTGGCGGAGACTGCCGAAGATGACGTGAACGACGCCGCGAACGACGCCGAGGACGACGAGGCCGAGGCAGAGGAGGAGAAGGAGGAGAAGGAGGAGAAGGAGGAGGGTGGAACCAAGCCCAGGCCGCCTCCGGAGGCTGATGCTCCAGTCGTTCCCGGCTGGATTATACGGAAGAAGGTGCATTGCAAGACGATCGCTGAGCCTGAAGATGCTGAACCGACCTGGGCCAATGAAGAGTTCACCCCACTGGAGCCTGCAGAAGTTGCCGAAGGGGAGGAGCCCGCCGATACCGCCAATACCGCAAACTCAGTGCTGCCTTTTCCAAGCTTCCATCGATGTGTGGATGAGTTCTTCACCCAGCTCGAGGAGAACAAGGCAGTTGAGCAGAAGGCACAGCATGCCCAGACCGTGATGGCTCGCGTCGACCGCATCCGCGCAGATCAGGGGCGCCGTCTTCTGGAGCTGGAGGCAGAACAACAAGCATCCGAACGGAAGGCAAGCCTCATCGAGCGCAATGTCGAGCTCGTCGATCGTGCTTTGGCCATGCTCAATGCCATGCTGGCATCGCAGGTAGACTGGGGCGAGCTTTGGCGTGAAGTCAAACGCCAGCAACGCTTGGGACATCCTATTGCGGAACATATCCACTCCCTAAATTTGGAACAAAACGAATTCAAGATTTTACTGGCTGATGTTGAGGAAGAGCAAGCGGAAGAAGGAACTGAAGACCAGCCTATGGAAGTGGTGGCGCTGAATCTGAACCTGTCCGCGCATGCCAATGTGGCGCGCTTGCACGCGAAGAGGAAGGAAACAAGAGACAAGACCTCACGCACGCAGACCAACGCCGAAGCTGCCATTAAGAGCGCCGAGAGGAAAGCGCATCAGGATCTGCAAAAGTTCGACCTGAAGCAAACGATCCGGCGTGTGCGTCAGACATGGTGGTTCGAGAAGTTTATTTGGTTCATCTCCTCCGAGCTGCTTGACTCATATGGGTTGGGCTGCATTTAAGAGTAGGAGAAATCGATATGTGTTTGCCCCGTTTTGCCTCTCTTTCTTCTCTGCTTTGAAAAGAGCGCTGCCAAATCAGGAACTATCTTGTCGTGGCTGGCCATGATGCGGTGCAGACAGAGCAGCTCTTCCTGAGGCATCTAGGCGAAAACGATGCCTTCATCCAGGCGGATGTTGCAGGAGCCCGGACGTGCTTTGTTCGAAACCCTGAAGGCCAGGGCAGTTTGAAAGCCTTCGAATTTTTAGGCAAGCTCGTTTTTTGGCATGCGTCTGGTCTTTGACATGATGTGCCCGTAGTTTTCGCACCCAGGTGGAGAGGTGCCACCTGCGACACTTCGGGAAGCTGGAACGCTGGCTCTTTGCCATAGCTCCGCCTGGGACAAGCAGATTGTCATCTCTGCGTGGTGGGTGCCCATGACACAGGTCTCGCGAGGTGCGCCTGAAGCCCTGAAGTGCAGCTGTGACGAATCAACTGACCCGCTGCAGGCAAAGCTCCAGATGAAGACCACCATTGCATCGACGATTTCTACATCACCGGACGTCGTCTCTTTATGCCGCCGTTGCACTTGGAGCCGCTCACATGAGAATGACTGGTATCATTGTGGTATGAGTTGCATCCATAATGCTCCGATTCTGTCCACCCAGGATGGGCATGA